TATATTCATTCTGTGTATTTTTAATAAATCTTGTAACCTTACTTTCCGAATAACCCTCATGCATTTGCGCTCACGTCAAGATTGGTCCTGCCGAGTGTTAGAATCTAATCTGCAGTGATCCCTGGATGATAACTCAGTTCCCTCAAGATCCATATCTACCAGAATTGGGGAGAAGACCCAGGTCAACAGCAGGGATTTCCTTGTCTAGACCTCCTTCTCTCCAATGAGACTGTGGTCTATTTCAGTTTGGTTTATCTCACCACACGGCAGCTGTACTTGTAAAGGCATGCTCTTTCCACCATAATTGGTGTCATGGTTTGCCTTTTTGTTGTTGCAGAAGGAACAGAATATCAGTACATGTTTAGGCCATAATTTAAGAGGGAATGAGCACTTCCTCTCACTTACTGAATCATGTAATATCCTTGATTTCTTTCTTTGTTTTTGCATGACTTACATTCTCTCTCATCCATTTACAACGGAAACAATTTCCCATGCATTATTTATTTGACTCAGAAGTGGAGTTTGAACATTTCTCTTCCTCTTTCAACACAATTGACTGCATGCAGTCCTAAATGATGACGATGAAGATGATGATGGAACTTTGAAAAAGGAGATTGAGGGTCTAATTCTTGTAGCCCAAGAACAAGCAATTACAACAAACACCATCAAAGCCAGAACTGAAACATTGACTACAGATTCCAAGTGTAGACTCTGCAAGGAAGCAGGCAAAACAATGGATCACATACACAGCTGCTGCAAAAAGATTGCCTAGATGGACTACAAGCAGAGGCACAACACAGTTGCTCAGATCATCCATTGGAACTTGTGCCACAAATACCATCTGCCTGTGACAAAGTTCTGGTGGGATCACAAACCTGAAAAAGTTATGGAAAATGAACACATCAAACTATTCTGGGACTTCCGAATTCAGACTGGCAGAGCTTTGAAGCACAATACTCCTGACCTCATGATTGTGGGGAAAAAACAAAGTATGGATCGTTGGTGCTTCAATCCCAGGCGACAGCAGGATTGATATTGGGGATTCCTCATCTTCGGAAGAGGAAGGGGAGCAGGGAAGTGCTCAGGAATTGGAGGGAGAAGAAGAATCAGACAATGAGGGTTTGAAAGCGCCCACATTTCTAGAGAGACGAAAAGAGACAGAGCACAGACGCTGTTCGGCCAGAATAGCTGCTAAAAACTCTGAGCTAATTGGGAGACACCCTACCTCCTCCTGCATGGAGAATTCAGGGCTATAAATCAGAGGCAGGAGTAATCAGCTTTTGCTGGTAACAACGACCCTGATACTGCTGTTTTCACTCCTAGGGAATCTGCTTTGTGGACTTAGTTCATCGTCTGTTGTCTGATGGAAGACTGGTGTTTCTTTTGAGGACCTTGTAAGAGACTTGAATTTGTGTCTGGATTAAGACTTCCATGTTTTCTTTTGCACTTTAGGATTTCTGGGGGTTGAAGGCCAAAACATCTGGGAGCCCACAGGTTGAGAACCACTGGTCTAAAGGCTGTTTATGAAGGGCAATTCAGGACAATAGACAAGAAGCAACTGGAAAAGCTGACACAATATGAGGATTTAAAAATCAAACTGCAAAGACTCTGGCACACGGCCGTCAAGGAGGTCTTAATGGTGATCGGCACACTGGGTGCAGTGCCTCAACACCTTGGCCTAACTCAAACACAATTGACACTGACAAAATTACCATCTGTCAGCTGCAAAAGGCCACCCTACTCAGATCCGCATGCATTATACGCCAATACATCACAGTCCTAGACACTTGAGAAGTGTCCGACGTGTGATCAAATACAACAGCCAGCAGAGTGATCTTGTCTGCTGTAGACTCATCTTGTGGTGTTTCAAATAACAACAACAACAACAATATTAATAATAATAATCCACCAATATTTTGGAGATGAAAACCAGAACTCATGGAGCCAAGGAAAATCAGGATGTGGTCTAGATGACCAACATTAGGAATGAGGAGGGAGTCTGCAGCAATTTGCTTTTGCTTGGGCCTACTGTGAAGGGTAAGACTCTTCTCTCTTCGTCCCTCTGCTGAGCTGAGTGGACAGCAGGAAGGTATACATTCCCAGCAAAGTCACCAATGCACACTGATACCTGATGCACATCAGTATCCAATGCACAGTGGTGCACATCTATATGCATATCCGAATGTAATGTACAGTGTTCCATGTAGAACTGGGTACAGTGTGCACTAATGCACAACTGCACACTAGTGCACGGTGCTCATCCATTGTGATGGCTATTCCAGTGTGCCTTTTCGGAATAATGATCCCATAGCACTTTGCCCTCCAAAGCACTTCACATTTCTTTAGGTCTGCTCATATGCCCTTCTGCAAACACCACTATCTCCTTTTCGTCTATGTCCCAACATTATGTCCAATTTTAACTGTACATTTGGCCTTCCCACTGTTTTTAATTGTATGTTGTCTTATTGATAATGTTGTATATTTTTATTGTCTATGTTTTTTATTTTTAATTGCTTGTATTGTTGCTTATTGCCTGTATTGTTGTATTAGGGCTCAGCCTCATGTAAGCCGCACCGAGTCCCTTGGGGAGATGGTAGCGGGTTACAAATAAAGTATTACTATTATTATTATTATGGACATCAGGCGCTCATGGTGGTATCCTGTTCTGCAACGTCACAAAGCAGCAAAGTGTTCCGTATCTCTTCTGCTGCGCAGCTCAGTACACATAAAGCTCCGTAGGAATGGGTCACCTAGGATTCAAGTGCTCTTCTTTCTCTCCTAAACACCATGACATTATTATATTAATTTTTTCCCAGCTAAATGAGGTTTCCCGGAAGAAAATGTGCAACGAGAATTGGCTATTAAGAGAGACATTTTTCCAGTCTTTCAATTATATTTTCATGGTTACGTTCTGTTAAATTAGGATTTACACAATATAAATGAGAAATGCTTTCACGGTGGTTGGGTCTTTTCAGTACAAAACAGCCTTTGAGCCTCTTTGGCAAGAGGCAGTGCCAGAAATGACTTGAAAAGAGTAAGAGTTCACATATGACACGACACATTGGGAAACACTCCATGAGCAAAACAAGAGCAAGAATATCTGTTGTGTTAGAACCAATAGGAGCTTCCAGTGACGCAATGGGCTAAAACCTTGTGCCGGCAGAACTGAAGACCGACAGGTTGGTGGTTCGAATCTGGGGAGAGCACAGATGAGCTCCCTCTGTCAGCTCCAGCTCCCCATGCGGGGACATGAGAGAAGCCTCCCACAAGGATGGTAAAACATCCAAACATCCGGGCATTCCCTGGGCAACATCCTTGCAGATGGCCAATTTTCTCACACCAGAAGCAACTTGCAGTTTCTCAAGTTGCTCCTAATGTAATAAGAAATGCAGATTTGATAAATGTGGATTTAATATATGTGTGGGAATGAATGGTTGAATGGAAGGATGTATGGATGGAGTTAATAATTTTGGAAACACCAGTAAAATATTAAGGCCTGCAATAACTAACTACCTGCTTGCTGGACTGTAATTAAAAGTTGCTAATAAGAACTGAAAAGTAAACTCTGATAAGAATTGGGACAGTCATAACAGAAGTGTTTACAATGTTAAGAAGTCAACACAAGGCTAACACCAATCAAGAAGAATCAACATCTGGCCAGGAAACTAAGACGGAGTCAGGAGGGAAGACATCTATCATTAATTTACAAGTTTGGGATGATATCAGCAGAATATTCCTATAAAAGACTCAGTCTAATAATGCTCACAGTGTGGCAGACCTGAGGAGTCTGTTCCACCCGCCATGCTCTGCTCCATGGGAAGGAGAGAGATAGTGTACCATGGAGTGGCAGATTTGCACAGGAGCGGTCTGGTCACTTTGGGGCTTCTTTCTCAAGGGAAGAGGAAGAAGGGTGCATTTGGAGTCTTGGATTTTGTGCAGGGAGTCAGGTTCTGCTGTATGGAAAACAGAGGTCTGGTCCTTGGCATTGTTCTTAGGGAAAGAAGTTTTGGCATTTTGAAGTTTTGGCATTATGGAACTATGCATTGGCAGGCTGCAGGAAAACAGGGTCTGGCCTAAGAGGTGCTTCTCCAAGGAGGGAGAATATTTGGGTGCATGGGGATGAACACATGCACATGTGGTGTGAATGCTGAGTGAAAATGTAATTCCCTTTTGTTTGTTTGTTAGCTATGTAAATGTAGTTGCATAAAATCTATGTTTCTGTATGTCCAATGTCATTCTATGTCTAAATGTTTTCCTGTAATCTGATATACCCAGCTCAACTGGCTGCCTGTTTGCTTACGGGCACAATTCAAATGCTGGCTTTAGCCTATAAAGCCCTACACGGTTTCGGTCCAACTTACCTATCCGAACGAATCTCTCCTTATGAACCATCTAGGACGTTAAGATCTTTTGGGGAGGCTCTGCTCTCCCTCCCGCCTTCTTTGCAGATGAGTCTGGCGGGGATGAGAGACAGAGCCTTCTCAGCGGTGGCCCCTCGACTGTGGAACGCACTGTTTAGAGATATAAGATCAGCTCCCTCCCTCCTGACTTTTCGGAAAAAGGTGAAAACCTGGCTTTTTGAGCAAGCCTTCCCAAATACGGCATAGCTAAACAGAACTATGGAACTACTTGATAACGCAATGGAATAATGATTTGACAGGGAGACGCTCACGATAATGTTTTAAGGCTTTGTACGGTTTTTATATTTTTTTATATCATATGCTGTTGTTTTTAGCAGAATTTCTTGATTGCTTTTACTTGTTATAATTGTTGAGGCATCGAATTGTTGCCAATTTGTGAACCGCTCCAAGTCGCCTCTGGGCTGAGAAGGGTGGTTTAGACATATAGTAAGTAAGTAAGTAAGTAAGTAAATACCCTCTCACAGTGGAAATTGCAATAAAAAGAACCCATGCTTCAAAGTTATTGAAAAGTCATTCATGAGTTAGAATCAGTTGTTTCTCAATGTTTGTGAGATCAATCACATTACACAGAGATTCCAGGGTCTTTATTATGCTAGTTTTTTTTATTTTGCAATTTGAATACATCAATAATGTTTACTTTATCTAAGACAGAAGCAGGCAAATTGGGGTCTTCCTGATGTGGTTCCTGCGGTGTCAGGTCAAATCCTCCAACTTGACTGCGTTGGCCATAACGTTCTCATCTTTCATCGGAGAGCTCTTCACCCTAATTTCCTTCTCACGCAAAGCTTTCATTTAGACCCCTCTTGATCAGGACCCACCCTCATATTTTGGCTTTTAGAGTATTTCCTTTCAAGATACAGCAATTATTTAAAGTGATATCATGAGATCAGCAACAAAGCATAAGCTTGTATGGAAGTGTATAACCTCAGGGTAGCAGGCAGCCCATGATCTACAAGTGATCAATAACAGAGAAGCTTTGTGAGGAGGAGAAGCATCATCAAAAAGGAGATGTTTAGAGCCACAACCCTATCATGGCCTCCGTTGGGCCCTTCAATACTGGTGATAACTTCTTCGGCGGTATTTGTCATCTTGGGTATCTTCCCAGAGTTGCTTTCTTCTAAACGTTGAAATATACTTTCATTATACTCCACTTTGCACATTTGGCAAACCATGTGCGTCACAACCTTGATTTCCATCTCATCGGTTCGGTTCTCGATGAACTCTCCCACAGTGACATTCACACAGTCTCCCACAAAGACCTCCTCTGGAACAGGATACTGATAGTCATTTTGGAAATACACCATGTCGGGATAGCTATTGCGGTGTTCGTTCCACCACTGTTCCTCCTCGGAGTCCCTAAAATGGAATTCCATGTTGGACATGGAGCCGCCATGCCTTAGTCTGGCTTTGGGTGGCTTCGGTCTCCATGGCTTGGAATCGTATGAATACGAGGGGTATAGTGACGGATACCCATGGTATTGAGGGCGATGTTTTGAGGGGAACAGATCTTGCGAGGGTTGAAGGTAATTGGTAGAACTTCCTTCTGATTTGCTAGATTCCCAATGTCTCCTTCCTGGGCCATTTCCAAAAGAAGAATCAGAATTGCCTGAATCAGAGCTAGAACCAATCGAATCAGAACTAGAACTGCCAAATTGGGACCAAGAACTGCTGGAAGGAGATTTTGAACTGCTTGAACGGGAACGGCCCTTTGATCCCCGTGAATCAATGACATCAGCCTGAAGTAGAATCAGGAGAAATGCTATTGAGCACCTAACCACATACGTCCTCTTCATGGTTGTTCTGTAAAACACAAGAATGGCATGGTTTCATTGAGGAGGAGACGAATGAGACACCAATAGGGACATTTGAAAGCAGGCAACCATGGTATTTATTTCGGACATTTCTATCCCGTCCTATCTCAACCTCCGCAGAGGGCTCAGGGCGGCTAACAACCGCCACACCATGGTGCCCACAACCAAAAGCATAAATATAAATAAAACCAATATTAAAACAATATTAAAACATTCAAACAGTCAAACAGTCGCCAATTTAAGTCATCGTCCTAAAAGCAGTCCGTCAAGTCCATTAAAGCCGTAGCTTTGCCAGCAGGTCAGCCGAGTCTGCAAAAGACTGATCCCATAGCCAGGGTTTCGGGAGGGATGGAGCAGATCTAATGTCACTTGGGAGGGAGTTCCACGGCCGAGGGGCCACCACAGAAAAGGCCCTGTCCCTTGTCCCCTCCAAACACGATTGCGATGATGGGGGGACAATGAGCAGGGCCTCTCTGGATGATCTTAGGGTCCTAGGTGGATCGTAGCAGGAGATACGTTCAGATAAGTCAACCGGGCCAGTAAACTGGTATTAGTCTTCTCTATCAAAGAGTACTGGTGCCTCACCAAATTACAACAACTATGATTCCCTAGCAATGAGTCATGGTCGTTAAAGTAGTATCAATCTGCATTAATTCTACAGTGTGCCATGACCCCTTAATACAGTTTCTCATGTTGTGGTGACCCCCAACCATAAAATTATTTTTGTTGCTATTCCATAACTGAAATTTTGCTACTATTACAAACTGTAATGAAAATATCCAATAAGCAGGATGTATTTTCATTCAGTGGACCAAATTTGGCACAAATACCCAGTACAGCCAAATTTGAATATTGGTGGGGTTGGAGAGACTGATTTTATCATTTGGGAGCTGTAATTGCTGGGATTTATAGTTAACCTACAATCAAAGAGCATTCTGAACTCCACCAACGATGGAATTGTTGGCACACAGAACTCCGGTGACCAACAGAAAATACTGGAAGGGTTTGGTGAGCATTGACCTTTCATGTTGGAGTTGTAGTTCACCTACATATAGAGAGCACTGTGGGCTCAAACAATGAAGGATCTGGACCAAACTTGGCACAAATACTCAATATGCCCAAATGCGAATACTGGTAGAGTTTAGGGAAAATAGACCTTGATATTTGGGAGTTTTAATTGCTGGGATTTATAGTTCACCTACAATCAAAGAGCATCCTGAGCAGTCTACGATCGACAGAACTGGGCCAAACCGGACACCCTCCCTCCGGCCTTGCACACTCTCTGCCGCCTGCACATGTACACCTCATTGCCGTGTGCCGAGCACGCCTGCTCTCCCCTCCCGGCTTGGAGTCTCAGAAGCATCCCTCCCTTGGCTGAGAGGCTGGCCAATCACAGCAGAGGAGGGCTTTGGGTGGAGGATTTGCCGTCTGTTTCCAAAAACTAGGAGAAGGACAGGTGGAGAGAGCAGCGTGCGGCAGTCTTAAATTCTAGTAAAGTGCATCTGGGACTTGGTACTGGAGATTTCCTAATCGGGAAAGGCACATCGGAACAGCCAGGTCTTCAAGTTCTTTCTGAAGACTGCCAATGTAGGGGCCTGTCTCAGATCTTTGGGGAGGGAGTTCCAGAGTCGGGGGGCCACCACAGGAAAGGCTAACCTTCTTCAGTGTATATGTACTTACTTACCCTTCCAATAACAACAATAATAATAGAGTAAAATAATAAATGTAATAAAATAATGATAAAGTAAAATAATGGAAATAAAATAAAACAATAATAATATATCATAATAATAAATATTATAGTAATAGAGTAAAATAGGTATTAGTCCCAGCTTCTGCCAACCTTGCAGATCAAAAACATGCAAATGTGAGGAGATCAATAGGTACTTCTCCTGCAAGAAGGTAACAGCGCTCCATGAAGTCATGCTGGCCATATGACCTTGGCAGCGTCTATGGACAACGCTGGCTCTTTGGCTTAGGAATGGAGATGAGCACCACACCCCAGAGTCAGGCACGACTGGACTTAATGTCAGGGGAAAACCTGAACTCCACCAAGGATGGAATTGAACCAAATATGGCACACAGAACTCCCACAACGAACAGAAAATATATATCAGTGATTGGTTGGGAGGAGGGAGGGAAATACTGTTTACTTACCGTCAAAAATTACCTAGGGCCGCCTCTGCCCGAGTGTAAGTCGAGGGGGGCTTTTTTCAGCCTGAAAAAGGGCTGAAAAACTCCGCTTATACTTGAGTATATACGGTAAGTTTTCTCCCATCTAAATTCAAGAAACCCAAGAGATCACATTAATTTGACAAAGTGTGAGACACCAGCAAGATTGGGGGGGGGGGGGGATCCACATTTCACATCTGTTTATTTCCCATTGCTGGTGTCAGCTTTCCCCGTTATCCTAAAGGTAGTGAGGAAGCAGAGTTGTGCATTTCAGCTCCTCAAAAAATCTCCTTCTCTTGTAACGGAGACTTGTCCCTCCTGGGTTCCCATCCCTATTAAATCCGTTTTCCCTTATCGGTTTGTGATACAGGATGTCTCCTGCAATAAATCAGGATTGCATTTGCTCCGCAGACAGGCAAACAGAAGCAGAGCGGTAAAGCAAAGGAAAAACAAGCGCTGAAGGACAAGAGGCGGCCACGCCCAAAGGAGCATCGCTGATGGTTAGCAAGATTCATTTGTAAATCTATCCATCTGTACAATTTGCTTGTGCACTACAAAAAGACCCACTAGCAAAGGTTAGATTGTAAGACTGGGTTTCTACCTTTCTGCTTTTCAGCTTCTTTTTGCCTGTCCTGTCTGATATCAGCTGGTAGTTGAATACAGAACCAAAACTTCCAGATAGCGCCCCACAAAATGCCTTTCGAAAACATTTTCCATGTGAACATAATAAACACAAGTGTGACTTACAGGTATCAGGGAGTCTTTTTGGAGCCTCTCTTGTTGATCTTCTGAGAAGCCGCTCACAGTGCGTGCAATATGAGGTGGGGCACATTCAGGTAATGCCTAATGTGATCACTTGTTATGCTTATCTCAGAGCATCCAACATTTAAGAAGCCGCTGGAGATTCCAGCCTATCATTCTGCCTAATGGATTAGGAAATGAGATGCTCCAAAGAGGAACTTGGAGCACAACCAGAAACCTCAATAGCCAGGCAACATCTCAGCTTTCTGCATCTGCTTCGAGATTAAAAGATGTAAGAATTCAATATTTTAATTTTGATTTTTTTAAAATAGAATATTTTTAAAGCAATAGGTGGAACTCTTCATTCTGATAAGGAATTATTGTTTTGCAAGAGGAGAGCTGTTCCTAATGTGTTGTACTAAATCAGTGGTTCCCAACACAGGCTGGAGGGAGCACTGCAAGACCTAAAAATAGCACTACATCAAGGAAACTTCTTGTTCTTTACTGATCATGGCATATATTATTTTCTCTGGCAAGACAGCATGTGGACTGGTAAAACGTGAACTACACATGATTTTCGTTTTGCCACAGTTTAGCTGGGCGTTTCTGGTGAGAGCAGAGGCAGAAACGCCGAAGCCCCCCAGGCGAGGGGCTGCCTTTCCTCTCAAGGAGGTCTCCTTGAGATGTTCTTCAGTGCCGATGGATTTCAATCCATACCACCACCACCACACAATCATTCACCTCATCTGACCCTTTGGCCATCCATCCATTCCAAGCACCGCTTCCAACAAGAACACCAGTGATGTTTACAAAGGCTGCCAAAGACCCTTCTGAATGGATGGCGCATGAGAACAGACCCAAAACACTCATTCAAAAAACAAGGACTCTCTTCCGCTTAGACAGGCTCTGAAACCTCATTCCTGCAGTCACATGACACACTGGAAAAACCTCTACTTGACCCAACAGGCTGAGGCGAGATCCAAAGAGAGGCATGTAGGATGGGGGTGGGCTGAGAACTTTGGAAGGCGCTAAGTTGGAGAATGGAGACCCTTACTCCCATAGACACAGGTCAAGAGCAAAGGAGGACAACGCCNAGATCAGAGATTGTATTTGGATTATATGACATGTGTAGCTTTGGACTGGATTATATGCGACTACACTGCCATACACAATCAGCACTGGCAAGATCACCATCTGCCAGCTGCAAAAGGCCACCTGACTGGGATCTGCACACATTATTCGCCAATACATCACACAGTCCTAGGCACTTGGGAAGAGTCCAACGTGTGACCAATACAACAGCCAGCATTGTGAACTTGTCTGCTGTGGACTCATCTTGTTGTGTTTCAAATAATACTGATGCTTATTTCTATAGAGGACGCAAGGGCCCCAAGTGAAGAGCCGAGCCTGGTGTGAAAACCCCCCAAAAGAAGAAGTATAGCATGTGGGTGGGTGGCGTGAGTGAGTATTTTCTGTTGGTCATGGGAGTTCAGTGTGCCAAGATGGGTTCGATTCCATTGTTGGAATCAAAGAATGCTCTTTGATTGTGGGTGAACTATAAATCCCAGCAACTACCAACTCCCAAATGACAAAACCAATCTAAGGGGCCAACCGAGGGCAAAGGTGGATGGGTGGGATCCTTGAAGGGACTAGCTTGACCTTAAAGGAGCAGGGGGTGGCCATGACCGACAGGGAGCTCTGGCATGGGCTGGTCCATGAGGTCTCGAAGAGTCTGAAAAGACTGAACGAATGAACAACAAAGTAACTACAACTCCCAGGGTCTCATAGCATTCCGTCAAGTGGTGTCAAACTACATTCATTCTACAGTGTAAACATCCCGTCCCCACAAATGCCAAGATAGTCTTGTCTCCTGTTACATCCCAGGGACTGTATCAGCCCTCTTCTGCATTCCAATATAATGCAGATTATCAAAGCAAACAGTCCACTTTATCTGCTTTGGACTGGATTATATGCGACTACACTGCCATATAGAATCCAGATTATCTGCTTTGAACTGGATTATATGAGTCTACACCACCATATAGTCCAGGGCCTGTCTACACTGCCATGTACAATCCAGATTACCTGAGGGCAAGAAAGGCGCTCAGCAACTCTAAACGGGCCATGAGCAACCTCTAAAATGCTCCAAAAGGGCCAAACAGCCCCTGGCCAACAACTCCAAACAGGCGCTCACCAACAACTGTTAGAAGGCACCAAATGGGCAAAACAGGCCCTGAAACATCATCGCTATTTTACCTAACTTAGGTATGAATGGCACCTAACCTGGAACAAGAGAGGATTCATCAGGGCTGTCCCTGCCAAT